TTCTCATTAATAGTTTGTAACGTTAAATTTAATCATCTCTTAGCAATTCCTTGTTTATTTCGTACGACTTATCATCTGCGCAGTTAATTCTAAGTCTAAAGATTAAGATAAGAAGTAAGACTTAGCTAAAGGTTTATTAATACTACGTCTCTGAAGGTCCAACTAAAATCTGAAACAATTTATCCACTGCTACTTGCTAGGTTACAGAAATACCAATATTTAAATACTGTTGTGTTCTTCGGGTTCGTGGGTTTGGAGTGACTGACGACAACATTTGATGAAGAATCAAAACACAATTTGTTCGCCAGTATTACACAGGAGAGTTCCAAGTACATGTTTACAGTCGTTGAAAAAAACTACGATAAACACGCTGAAACAATCATTAACACAGCCTTCAGGCTACATCGCTGAAGACAGCTTCACGGCAAAGCACTAAAGTACAGCTTCTAACTCGGTTCAGTCGCTCTCAAGCTAATCTCTGATTTCAACATACTCTTGACACTCATCACGATAAACTCCTACTCCGCATACAGGCAGCGTATATATATTTGACCTGCCTTGGAGAATATTGTGGGAAAAAACGGTAACATATCGTTCTAGGATGTCCTCGCTCCGTCTACGGCATAGCACCAATTTTGTGGCCAAATGGGAGATTTCGAGCCAAATCTGGGGATCCTTCCTTTCCTTGCCATTTTCTGGCAACCCTAAACCTGCTTTGCGGGAAAGCTATCATATCGCAGCTGGGCATTTCGTAACAATATATACAACAAAATAAATGGTTTCAGAGGCAGCTATTCGCAATTTCTAAACGTAAGCAGGGTTGGTAAGAAATTTCTGGACCGCCCGCAAGTTGGGAGATTGGGGTCCTCCTAACGTAACGTCTTTTAAAATTATGCATTCTGTGTCATGATCAGACTGTTTCATAATTTATTATCAATAATCTTATTATTTAGATTTAATGCATGCAAGATTTTGAAAATCTTAAGTATAAAAATATTGTTTCAGTGAAAAGTTCAGCCTATTTTTATTCACATTTATTTACGCATGACGATGGCCCTTTCAAGCTCAGGGGTGGATGCTGCGGGATGCTTAAACGAGCCCTGAGTGTAAGCCCTCGCAAATGTAAGCGGGTACTCACCAAAACCTGAGATTGACATATAATTGTGTTGTTTGCGAAATAAACTGTTTTGTTGGTGTGTTGCCAAAATTCTCGCCCTAAAGTTACATAGTCACTCGCTAGCTAAATTCCACCGAATTCGCATTCTAGTGAGGCTAATGGAACGGATAGAAATTATTTGAGAGAATTAACATAAAATTTACGTGTTATTTATAATAAACAGTTTCTCTGTTTGAAACTTCGGTCTGTACTCCATTGTACAGTGGCTAATTAGTGATGAATTTACACAGACTTAAAATGTAATATTACTGCTTAAATTTAAAATTAAGCAAACCTTTGCTTTAGAAACAAGATAATTTTTTGATAGGATAATAAAATGTGAATAATTTGCAAAGTAGTTTGTTTCTGAAGAAATTAGATCGATTTGCTTGCCTTATTAAAAGAACTGAAACTTCTGATCGAAAATTAGGGCTAAATAAAATCGAATTTTGCTAAAACATCAGTCTGGCTTAGTCTTTCGGACATCTCTTGGAAATTTTTGAACTTTAACGTATGTACAGTAGAGCCCGTACACTCGATCTAATGTGGACTGAGAGAGTGACAAATTACCGAAAATACCGAGTTTTACGTAAAGGGGTGTTTTTCTTTTTATGTTAACCATATGAGCGCAGTGAAGAGCGATAGCGTTGCTCTTGTGTTGCCAAAATTGTGCTTGTCTTGTGTTATGTCAAAAATGTGGCGAAGCACTATCTTGATTGTCTTGTGTTATGCCAAAAATGCGTAGAAGTGCGATCGCTCTGCTGTTTATTACTATAATTTTCACATTTACTGACAGCAGTTGTATTCATATCAGTTGCGGTTTTAATTAATATCATTCAACTGAGGTTTTTAATAAGATAAAAATTAATCTCTTACCCATGATGCTCTACTATAGTGGCTCATCTTTTGAATTGAACGATAGTTTTCATATGTTGTATTTCACACTTTTTTTTTTTTTTTTTGATTTACCACGTGTTAGACAAAAGCAAAAAGTAATATGTAAAAGTTCGATAAGTATTCCATTATTTTCAAATGTATATACATATATATAACTATGCATTTTATTCTGCACTTTTAGCATATATATATAAGACTTTTAGCATATATATATAAGAAAATTCTTTAGCCTTCAAATGGTTAACACTATTTTACTGATACATTACATTAGTAAAACGTTTAGCATAATACAAGGTACAGAGAAGTACAACTTAACCTAAAATACTTATTTTATAGCCAGTTGCATTTTTTTCCCCTTGCAAGAATTTTTGAAAGCAGCATTCAAAAATTCAGACCAAACTCATCGTAGTTGTAAATTTGTTCCTTCTTTTCAAAAAATCTAGGGAAATTTCCCTCGAATTTATTAAGATATACCCAGTCAGTGCAGAGTTTTCATCGCAGTGTTTTAACTGGCTGATGCCTTAGTGCTTCTTTCTCTTGTCGAGACAGCCAATACTAGCAGTAAATCCCGATTTTCCTTCTTGAAATTCTTCATAGAGTTTGAGAATTTGATCTTACAAAGTGAGTCCAGAAACTGGGTGTTGCTTTTCGTTTTGCTGGCTCTCTCTCTGTATATATATATAAAAGGAGGGGGGGAGGAGAAAATCTGAAAAGTGTTTCAGATTTTAAATTACTTCCAAAGGGGCAATTTTAACATCTTGTGTGTTACCTTTATTTATTAAGTATCATGTTCTTCGCACTTAAACCATAAAATTCATCGCAAAATAATTTTAAATTGAGCATATGTTTAGAATTTACGAACACATTTCACGCACTGGAGATAAAAATGTTTTTTCTGTGCAACGTTGCCATTGCTTGCTTTGAAATCCTTGAATTTGTTAATCAAAAATTCGTTAAAGTTTTACAAAATATGAAATAGATAATAGAACAAAGTCAAAATTTAAAATTTGGGCTTTCAGATGCCCATATTCGCATTAAGATTACGTCATTCAAAATTGAATGGCTCTAGGTACCGTTGTTTGATCACAATGCGAGAAACATATATATATTTATGCAAATTCTTCATTATTTAATTTCTTCAAATATAATACAAGGTGATAATACTTAATGGCAACAGTTTGAAAAGCGAAACGGACATACAGAGTGATTCGACACAAAATCGCAAAACGTAAACAGTAGTCCCTCAGGGAAAGCCCCTTTGGACTATAAACACCTTCCCTCAATTTCTTGTGTTTTTCACCATAATTTCCCTTTCATTTAAACTATTAGCATATAGGTATATTAATTAATAAGATTACGTGTTCCGGATACCTCTCGTTGACTTCCTCACGCATTCCTTTTTGGGAAAGAGTCGCGGGCTTTCAAAACTCAGAGATACAATCCATAGGTTCGAGTATTTTGTGCCCCAGAGCCTAGACCGTCAGAGTACGGATCTCAGCCAGTACAAGAAACGGCCCAGGGAGGTCTTATGAGTGTATGCTCTTTTCACATAGCAAGACGCTATTTAAGATCACTTCTTTTTTTTCCATCTTAATATAGTAGTTCATACAGCACCTCAATCCATGGCAATTGGTACTTTTCCCTTTATCCAGTGTTCTTTAAGGTATCTGCTTTCATTTCCACTGTCATGTTAGTTTATTTTCTTCTCTTCTTCTTCCACATTTTCATTTGCATAGACAACAAAACGCGAGACTTGTAAGCCCTGATGTAAACTCAGAAACTGTGCCGAAAATGAAAGTTTAGCTTACAATAGTATATAGGTAAAAACATTCTGGTAAACCTACTAATGACAGACAATAGAAAGAAATTTGAGGGTTAACTTACAGCGGACATCTAACTTTCTTCCACCACTTCGTTACTGAGACGAGAAATAGGGTAAATTTGAATTTCCATGAAAAGGAGAAACTCTGTTACCAAATTCGTTAGAATTTTCCAGAATTAATGTCACTAAGGGACAAAATTTGCAAAAATAAAACATCGTAAGAAACCTTTGAACGAAATTAAAGTAACATGAAGACATTTATATTCATAAATATGTACTGCAGTTACAAAAATACTGTAATTAAAATTTATCTGTACTATTTGCACCGTATAGGTAATTTTGTGTACTATTTGCACCGTATATCTGTACTATTTGCAGAGTATATGTTTAGAAACTATTACAATCTAGCTGATAATATTCATTTATATTGTTTCAAAGATAATGTTCAATGTTCTGTTTGACGAAAACAAATACTTCAGCGATTAAAATAAAAAGAAAAAATGTGATATTCAAATTATACGGATATTAAGTAATCGAGAGTCAAGTTTGTAGGATTCTGTTATATTATGTACTTATTAAAAATTAAAAAAATTAAATTTAGGAAGCACGTGAAACATTAGGAGGGCAAATTACATAGATTTTACATGCAATTAAGAAAGCTATTACTATTTAAAACTAATAAAATTGTTAACAAAGGTTCTTATTTTCACTTAAATTGATTTTTCTTGAAGATTAAATGCAATAAACCAATTAACTTAATTGGATTTAATCTGTCAGCGTCTGCCGGCGGAGTCAATTTTGGACAGTTTTCAGGATCGTGAACTCCCAAATCAGTGGACAGGAGCGAAGTCAACACTCAATTCCCTCTGTTACTTTCTTTTTTTCCCCTTTTTTCCCCTTAAAGTTTGTATTAACTACTGACCTTTGTATCTGATACTTTTAACAACTCTGAAAATAAATTTGTATAATCTAGTCGAAGATTAGTAAGCTTTTCTTCAAAAAACGCTTTACAAATTTCGGTACAAATTTTTTATTTCTAAGTGTGGTCTCTAATTTTAGGGAAAATGTATAACGTATCAAGTTAAAAATAGTTGTAATAAAAGTAACAGCTCGATTTCTTTTCAGGAACATTCCACTCGTCACCTGCAGTTGGATATTGTTGCAGCTTTATTTGGTGCATGCAACTCTTCCCCTACTTCCCATTCCCACAGACGTCCACGAAAATAAACCCAGGCTCTTTCGCATTTATTCCAAGCCACCAGAACCGGATGCAGAGAAACATGTAGGACCCGATATTATGGGGCATGTGGGCAATGTCCTTAAAGGTGGATCCATAGGATTTGTATATGAAACAAGGCCTCTGGAAAAGATTGGTGGCCTTTTCAGACCGGTGACAAAATGGTTTGGCAAGAAAGAGCTTACACCGGTAGAGCCCGACGAACCTTTTCCTGAAAAGATTCCTGAAAAGAAAGAAGATTCGTGGGAATCCGAAGAGGAAGAGAAATTCTGGGAGCCTGAAGATCCGAAGAAACCTGTACCTGAAGGACCTAGTTGGGAAGACATTGGCGAAACACTGGATCACACAACCGTTCCGATTGAGGAGATCATACAGCCTAGGATTAAGCCCAGATCAAGGCCAAAGAGGTTTATTGAATCTAAGATATATCATGTTCCTCTTCTTTTTCGATCGAACGCCAAACCTTACCAGGTGAAAATCAGAAGTCAAAACGATTTTGATGATTTAAAGAAGAGTTCTAAGTAAATCTGACAATTATAACACTAAATTGATTAACTTTTGTCATTCATTTTCAGATACGAACTATAGCCAGTTGATGTAATCAAAATTACAAATTTATTTAAGAAAGCCTTCACGAAAATAACAGAAACTACTTTTTTTTATTGTAAGATTGAATTTTCTGAAAATTGAAAAAGTATAATTCAGGCAATTTAACTAAAAGCCTAAATTATATTTTTTCAATCATAAATTTCTAGATTTAAACTAGAATATTCTACTTACAAACCTAAACATGTACGAAATATTACAAAACCACATACGTTTTAAGATGTTTAATACAGCTCTTAGAAAAAGAAAAAACATTCCTTTCATTTATTTTTCGACAGAAAAAATGAAATAGAACGAAGTAAATGGAAGGAGTAGTAAACGTTTTGAAAATGTACTGGAGATATTTATGTCAAAATTCTTTTATGTTAAGAAACACTACATTGAGATATACAGTTGAATATATCTTCAAACGGTTTAATTATGCTAGAGGAATACTTTAGATGGCTTTTTTTATTAAAGACGATGTACACAATTAATATTGTTCTTTTTTATTATCTTGCGAGAAATTCATACAATTGCATTGTGATGTGCCATTAAGGGCTATTTCTTATCTAAAATACTAATATTAAATATTTAATATTTGGAAATTTTAATTTAAATAAGCATTTGGTATAAGATGGCTTTGTTTTTAAAATATTGATTTTCTATATTATTTAAACTAATTAAACTCTGGCTTCAGTTGAATACCTATTACTATATACTGTAAATTAATGTCCAGTGAATTCATTGAACTACCTGACTGACACAAATTGTATAGCAATTAAAGCATTACAGTTAAAAAAAGTCAATGTTGTCAAAAGAGTTGTCAACATAACTTTTCAAGTTTTAACGCTGGTATCAAAAACTCTGAGATAAGTTTCATAACTTAGTAATACAGTTTCAGAAAATACGCTGTACATTTTAAATGTTTGATGCTCGCAAATGCATTTATTCAAAACAATGTGATTCACTAAAATACCAAATACAAATCAACTGAAAAGAAGCTAGATATAAGAAAATAAATTTAACCATTTCTGGGAAGTCCAATCACAAATTTTAAATGAAACCAGCGGGCTGCGGCCAAAGCAAAATTTGTATGCACACCTGAAATGAAAACGTATAAACCATTTTAATATGAATGTGATCAATTCATTCTTTTCAAGCAACAACCAATTCGTAAATAACATTTTAGCTGCAAAACCAGGAAACAAAATGTTTTGACACGTCAGGTATGCGTATGACGTCATGATTTAAATTTAATGTAATATAACAACTTTTTCTCTCTATCACCAAAGCGAACATTCCGGAAGGTATCAGATTGCGGTTAATTATTATTATGAAAAACTTGTATAATTATTAATTAAATTATTTATTTCTCTAGAAGGAAAAATAATTCCGGAATAAATTTTCTGTAATCTTGCCATTTTAATATTTTCTAACTTCAGAATTTCCTTCAGCCTATTAGAAATAGGTGCATTATATAAGTTTTCCTAGTATCAAAGAAGACAGACACATCTTCTCTTGTGAAAACCAGATGCTGCGTTTAATAAGCATCTCAATATATAGGATTAAATAAAAAGAAAAGACAATGTTTTGTAATTGACAGCCGTGTTTATATTTTTATTTTTATACAGCTGAGGCAGATTTCAAAACTGCTGCTTTCTCATACAGCCATTTTGTCACCTTCATATTAGCGTTTAATTTATTTTAATTTTGCGCCTTCCCCATTTTTCACCTGAGGTAATTTTGTTTTTCCTTCAAATGCTCATTTGATTTTCCTAAGGTTCTCGGATTTCATTTTTCACTTAATACTGCCTAAGTACATCTTCGAAACCAATAACTGCAGAAAATGTTATACCTTGCCTAGACAAAGCTTTGTTGAAACTGATTATTTCATTTCATTAATTATTTTTTTTATATTCAGTTTTTACAATTTATGTATAAAAGTCATATTTAGCTTCGTAGTAATCTAATTTATTAATTTTATTATACTTATTTAAGAATGATTCCATTTGTACGTAATAAAGTGTAAAACTTTTATGATATTTTAAGCAGAATTAAAAATGAAATTTTTGTTTAAAATTTTCTGTTGTATGGAAATACCCAAATCAAAATAGTATTAAAAGTAATTTCTATACCAAGTTGCTGTTCATTTGATATATTATTGATTATATTTACGAATTGGGAAAGAACTTTAATTATCTGTCATTTATTTTGTGAATTCCATCTACAAAACTACAAATATGAAAGCAATATTATAGTTTATAATTCTTTTAACGAAATGCATTTGTTTGGAAAAATATTGGCTTCTACTTATGTGTGTAGCATTTAAGCAGTAGAGATGAAATGTTCTATTTAAAAATTTATTTCCATTATTTTTTAATTTATGGAATTTTCGTCTAGCTGATCAATTCACGACATTTATTTTTATTCTTCACTTGAATAATCATCCTGATGTGTACTTATGTATATATATATAGCAAGGGTTATGCTATTTTCTCTTTTATTGTTAAATATTTAACATTAATTTGGTAAGATAAATGGAAAGAGAATGCATCTAAAGGAAACAGTTTACTTTGATATTTTTGATATGATTGTTCCATTAAATAAAACTTTATCTAAAAATGTGTCTCTGATTCATGATAGATATTTTACGTTCATTCATAATATAATTTTAACCTGAAAGTGGTTTTCAAGTTCCGTGTGGGAAATTTGAAGCACTTTTTTTTTTTTTTTTTTGGTTAATGCCAAAAGGTTTGCAATTTATTTTACAAACTGTTTAGCAAACATGTCTTTTTTGATATTATACAAGCGCAATGGTGACTATCAAAGAAAGGGGAATAATTTAAGTCATTTATGTCTGTATTTTTTGGCTATACCTTTTACTTTTGGCTATACTCTATCGAAATCGTGATAATTGAAATTCGTTTCCGACATCGTATAATACTTCTATATATCAATTTCTATTTGTTCTGCAATCTATCATATGCATTCTAAAAAGAAAAAAAAAATCGAACGCGGACGATAAAATTCTCAAGTTGCACACAAATTCCTCACCTGTAATTTTTTTTTTTCAATCTAAAAGTTCTTTTTGAGTCCAGTTACACTTTAATTCAACAATGAAATTAGTTTCGTAAACTGGCATCGATTACTTTTAATTTGAAAGCGAAATATTTGAAAGACTTCTTGTAATTTTTAAAATTGGTATGTATGTTTCTTTAAAAATTTTTTAAAAGAAAACTTTTCTAAGAAATTTTAAATTGCAAACTACCTTTCTCCTCTTGTGACACTCCTTAAAAATTTTAGGTTCATCTTATTCGTAAAGCCAATGAATACCCACACCCGTACAGTAATTTTTATATCAAAAATGAGGCTTTGATGTATTGAGTTTGCAAGAAAGTAATTTAGGTTTGCACAAGTGGGTAGCATTACGTCCGTTTTATTACTCTTCTGTTAATCCTATAATTATTTTCTTTTGGATTTGGCAGCTGACACTTTAAGATTGCTAAAGAAACCAATTCCGTGTACATGGGGTGCAAAAATGAACATTTTCAACATATTTTGCTTTTTTATTTTCAAAAAGGCAAAAAAGCGGGTGAGGCTCATAGAGAGATGTGTGAATTTTATGGTGTTGATTGCTAACAGAACGCATACGTCAGAATTTCTTTAAAAAATTTCATTCTGGAGAGTTTTTACTTGAAGACGACCAACGTTCTGGAGGAACTCCTGAAGGTGATAATGGCAAAATTAAAGCCGTAATTGAATTGAATCGTCATATAACTGTGCAAGAGATTGCAAAATGGTTAAATGTATATCATACAGAAATAGAAAATCAAATGAAATGTCTTGGACTCGTTAAGAATGGAAATCAAATGGAAATAGAAAATCAAGTAAAATGTCTTGGACTCGTTAAGTAGCTCGATATTTCGATGTCGCATGAATTGAAAGAAATTTACTTTACATAATATTTGCAATACGCATTTAAAAACTAATGGAATCGACCCTTTTCTAAAACGGATTATAACTGGTGATGAAAAATGGGTCGTCTACAATAGCATTAATCGAAAGAGGTCCAAGCATGATGAAACAGCCCAAATCATATCAAAAGCTAAATTGCATCAGAAAAGGATTATGCTGCCAATCTGGTGGGATTACAAAGCTGTTGTTTATTTTGAGCTGCTTCCAAGCAACCAAACGATCAACTCAGATGTTTACTGCCAACAACGTATGAAACTGGAGGAAGAAATCAAAGTGAGAAGGCCAGAATTGACAAATCACAGTAGAATCGTGTCCACCCCGACAATGCTATGGTCTCATATATCTTTTGCAACGCGTGTGAAATTATTGGAGCTTGGTTGGGAAGGGATGTTTTATCCTCCATTTATCCTCAACCTTGAACCATCGGATTATGGTTTATTTCAAAATTTACAAAACATTTTAAATGGTAAAAATTTTATTAATAACGATGACTTCAAATCGCACTTGGCTGAGTTTTTTGCTAAAAATAATTGAAGTTTTATGAGCGCGGAGTCATGAAGCTACCAGAAAGATAGCAAGAAATTATCGACCAGAACAGAAAATATTTGACTGATTAAAATTACTTTTTTATATAGTTTTATTTCATACTGAAAACTCGAAATTACTTTCTTGCCAACCCGATAGTATGAAATTTTAATCTAAAAAATAATTCTTAACCGCATTAATTTTAACTTACAATCTAACAATGAAATTTTGACTTCCCCTTGCCTCCTTAAAATAGCCATTTTATACAAAATGCATATACATCTGCAAAATAAAGTATTTTTACTACAGAATAATATTCAATTAACAATGATAACCACCATTCACAGCAGCAAGACATTAATAAAGCTGTAGTTCGGGCAATGACCGAAACGTTCTACAAGAACTACTTTTATTCGGAAGTTGCAGCAAGTTACGTCCTTCAAGAGAACTTTCCTCATCCTTCCTACAAAAGCACATATCCTAGGGATGTTCAGAGTTTACATCCGCCGTTACATCCGATTTAATCTTATCTCAAATTGTAGCCCAATTTAAGATAAGATCAAATCGAGAGGAAACGTAAATCCAAAGTAGAGGATGAATGCAACATTATTACAAAAGTTTTTATAGAAGCTTTTGGATGCAAAATGTAAGAAACTTACTTTATATCTGTATATAAAATTAAAGATACACGTTTTCTTTTCTCTTCTCTTTCTTTCTTTTTCCTTTTCTTTCTTTCTTTTCTTTTTTTATTTCTTCCTTTCTCAAATGGGGCCACCAGCGGCCGAGCGGTAAAGGCGCTGAACACTGGTATTTCGGTCCGAGGTTCGAATTCCGCGAACGGGCTGGCTGCATGAGCATTTTCTTGGTTTTCTCCATGTGTAACGTGTATACGAGCCAGTTTCCCTTAGAAAGTCCTCCACGAAGGCATCCCTCTCCTTAGGCAGATAGCCCCCGAGGCTTTGCCATAATCACACACATACACACACACACACAAGACTTTTCTCAAACGGCCGGATAAGTAAAGACTGTTCGAGAATGGCCGTATCCATATCGTTCATTTAACAGTCTCATTCCCCAGAATGTTGCCAGGGTACGCTGGGGACAGAGGGATTGTATATTCACGAAAAGGAGGATATGCAGCAATAATCATGCATTCTTTTTCTTCAAAATTTAAGCCTATGACCAGAGGTATGGTAACTGAGGTCACTAGCCATCATATCGAACAGGGTAGTTTCTTTTTATTTATTTATTTTTTGAAACGTACAAGCAATGAACACTGAAGACACATATTAACTTCTTTTCTTCGCATAAGAATTTAAACAGATGAGCCTTACTTTAATTGTTTTATTAAATTCTGTAAAACTGTTTGTAATTAAAATTTTCTTATCATGTAAGAACTTTCTAATACAAGACAGAATTAAAGATTGTAGGGATATACGTATTGTTGCGTGGGTACGGGTTCGTTACGAAAAGAATGCACACGTCCGATGAAAAATGAACAAAATTTATTATTATCACAACAAAATGCTTAAATTTTCTCAAGTTATGATGCAGTATTACAATATCTCACAGTAGTTATCTTTTAACTACTCAAATGTCCAATAGAACGTAATTCAAAACAGCTAAAGAACGCTAATCCGCGAATTCGCTACAATCAACAAGAGCAGTTTTCTAAACAACAACAAACTAAGCAACTACTACGAACTGAGATGTTTTTCCTCCTTTTATAAGATTTTAAAATCACGCGCTAGAATTTTCCAGTACTTTCTCGACATCAAAAAGAGAATTATTTATTTAATGCACGCGCTCTTCTATTTTCAATTTTCCGGCTTAGCTTTCTTTTAATATTCGTCACGCGCTGCACTGCGCGAGAAATAAAACCATTTAATTTATAATTTAACTAACATTAGCTTTTTAAATAGCAAATTCGTAACACTGCCCCCTTCCCAAGGACTGCACGTCCCGGGCAGTACAATATCTGGACAGGAAGCTAAACTTACAACTGTAGCATAAATGCATTAATAAGCATTACATTACAATATTAAACAACATGAACAATAAATGCAATAAATAAAACAAATCAAAATGCTAAATCAAACAAATCAAACACTAAATGCAAAATCAAATACTAAATACAAATCAAATCAAATACACATTTAAAAACAAAAAGGACCATGGTCTTATACTATTTACAATTATTTACATTACGTACTATGGCCATAGTAACGAGCTAACCTGTCGTAATGAACGACTTTAGGTTTAGAGTTCGAAGACTTACGGATCCGAACCACGACGTCATTCAGCCTGTTTAGGACTGTGTACGGGCCATCCCAAGGTGACTGTAATTTCGGACAAAGTCCTTTCCGTCGAGTCGGATTCCACAACCACACCTTGTCTCCTTCGTGGAACTGATGTTCAGTAGCTCTTGTGTCGTAGCGGGTCTTCATCTTCTCCGTCGCCAAGTTGACTCGCTCTCGTGCAAAGTTGTGCATCACTTCAAACCGGGCCTGGAGATCTTGAATATATTCCTCAGACGATGAAGGAGCAATCCGGAGGGCGACCAAACAATAGATCACAAGGCAGACGAAGGTCACGACCGAAGAGCATCTGTGATGGAGAATAGCCGGTAGTCTCGTGGAACAGCACTGCGGTAAGCCCAGTAAAAAGAGTGGTAATTTCTTGTCCCAGTCCTGCTGGTTTCTGGAAACCACTAATGAGAGGTTATTAAGGATGGTTCGATTGAACCTCTCTACCATGCCGTCCGACTGGGGATGTAATGGCGTCGTTTGGGTTTTGTCAATGCCGAGTAGTTTGCATAGTTCTTTGATTACTACCGAGGTAAAATTCCTTCCCTGATCGGAATGTAACTGAAGAGGCACTCCGAACCTGGAAATCCAGTGCTGTATCATCACCTCAGCTACTGTGAACAGCCTCTTGATCAGGAATAGGATACGCTTCAGGCCACTTGGTGAAGTAATCAATGACAACGAGTATGTATTTGTTGCCATCAGCAGTTCGTGGCAGAGGTCCAAGGATGTCAAAGGCGATACGTTCAAAAGGCGCCCCTACGTTTGTAACGTTGCAGCTTGCCTCGGCTGCGTCTCTTCGGTCCTTTTCGACCT